TCGGGGTGTTCTTGAAGATGGCGATGTGGAGATTGTGAAAGTCCACACGAAGGATAATCTGGCGGATATGCTCACTAAGGTGGTTCCGAGTAACAAGTTTAATCATTGTCGAAACTTGTTGCACATTCATGATTGTTGAGACCGTTGACGGCCATTTGGATGAACTATGGGCGGCTTGATCCCTTGAGAGAGAGGGTACGTAGGTAACCACATTGATGCAGCCGAGTTTGGAGAGACGACGCATTAGTACTCATGTTGGTGTCGGCTCAGTGTTGAGAACACTTCACCGAGGTGGAGAATTGTGAAAACGGCGAAGGAATTGAGAAAAACATGAAGAATAAGCAAAACAGACTCCACCACACCCTGGTGTGGTGTCTGCCATGGGTGTGACAGAATCTGCCCTGTCTGCTATGGGTGTGGTATCTGTCATACCCTGGTGTGGCAGAATCTGCCTTGTTTACCATGGGTATGGTGTCTGCCACACCAGGGTGTGTCAAACTCGTTTTTAGAATCATAATCTATTTGGGATTGTTTTTTGTTATAAATAGAACCAAGTTTTTTAGGGTTTCTTAAGGAGAAAAAAGGAGAGAATTGGCATTATTTTGAGCACTTTGAGAGGGAGATATTGTGAGGGAGTTGAGAGCTTTGGTTAGGGTTATATTTGAGTGATTTTGTGAGTTGTAACCCGTTGTATTTCTCCTCTATATAGTTAAATCTCCCCATCCTCTCCCCATGAACATAGGCAATTGCCGAACCACATAAATTCCTGTGTTTGTGTGTGATTTTGGTCGTTATTTTGTGAATTACACTCGTGTTTGGTTTTGGTTTTCTTCTCTCATCGCTCACCGACTCGTTTGGTTGTCGAGCACGCTTCCGCACGGCGCGCAATATATGCACTAGATTTCTCTGCTCTAGAAAATTGTATCATCAGCTGATTGTTTTTCCCCCTTGTGGAAGATATTCTCTCCAGATCTCCTTTCCTCTATAAATTAGCATCTTCGTCCTTCAATAGAGAACACATAATAATGGCAAGCTTTTCCTTTTGAAACTCTCTATTAAGATCTCTTCTCCTCTCGGTTGTTAAGGAAGAAACAAACCAGAGTTGTTCAAGAGCATGTAGCATTGCGAGTTCACGCTTGCTTGGCCAATGATCGTTGAATTGTGGAGGTAGACCGCCAATAACTATTGCATCTAGAGTCTCTGAGGGGCAAATTCTACTCTTAAGAACAGTGCATCCGCATGCCTCAATCATATTAAAAGGGAACTATTCGCATGTCTCGATCACATCAAAAGAAGTTCCCTTTCAGTTTTATAGTAATAATCCTAGCTAATTTTCCAATAGGATTAACTCACTTATTTTCTTGCAAATCTTTTTTCTCACATGTTAAGAAAGGATTAGCTTTTCTTAAATATTATTGCAGAGTTTTTCAATCACATGCCATGTGTTCTTCTACTCATGTCTGTTCTACTTATCTAACCATCTCATACTGAATCACATACCAACACTAGTTTAAGAGATTATGAGAATTGTCACAATTTTGCATTAGTCTTCCTTGCTCCATAATTTCTATATCTATCAACCAATCTATATGTTGTTTAGCCTCATGATATGCGTGTACTGTGCAACTTGTTCTATGTTTACTAGTGAAAAATGTGGTTCACGTACGTTTCAAGGAGGCTTTCTGAAAAAATTCTTGAAGTTAAAGAAGTCTAATAACCCCTAAACATAGGGGATTTTCTTGTATTTTGAGGTTATCTCATAAATGTCCAAGGTTAAAGGGAATTTTATAATAATTAGCCCAAAGAATATTACTCAACAGATTTAATTTAAAAAAAAGGAAAAGGTTGCAGAATGCAATTGCATGGGGCAGTGAGCTTTCAAAATAGCAGTAGCAGATTGACAGCCTAGCTCGGTTTTAGAACAATACAGTTACTTTTTCTTTTCTGGAACAAATTAAGAACGGTTCAGTTTCAGATTATTAGTTCGCACAGATGCCAGTGAGGGGCGGCTCAGCGAAAAGGATAGCATTACGTAGTCCTACTGTTTACGTGTTAAGGTAATGCTAAGGTCCACTTCTCACGACCAATGATACAGCAGGCTCCTTGTTTAGGTCTCTCCCATGAAAATGAGTTTAGCTGCAGTAGTTATATAGATTTTTACATAGGTTTGAGCAGGTTAGCTACAGCTCCTGCGTGCCCCCATTTTTAAGCATGTATTTTGAACTTATCTCTTCTAAGTTTAATACATTTGATTTAAAAATCATATCTACTTCTCTTATGCTTAAAGAAATATCTAAGTTCTAATACATTTGTTTGCTTTACTATTTATGATAAAATACTGTAACATGAATAGGAATTTCAAGTTGGAGGAGCTGATTTGATTTACTGATTATTCTACAGTAAATTTTAGATAAACAGTAACGTTCGAGTACACAGGACAAGTTTGGTTTACTATTTGTACTATAGTATTTACTGTAGTATGAACATAACTCTTATATATATATATATAATATATATATATATAAGTATATATATTATAATATATATATATATACACACACACTAGTGTGCACCCCGTGCAAAGCACGGTCCCCTGTTTATTTTAAGCACCGCATTTTAAACTTGTTTTCCTCTAAATTTTAACGCATTTGATTTAATTATTGTACCCTTAAAATTAGACATCTTATATACTCCTATATACTTAAAAAATAATCTAAGTTTTAATATATTTAATTTAGAAATCATATCTACTCACTTGAAGGGAGAGTCCATGTTTAATGCATTTAATTTGTTTTACTGTTTAAAATACAATAAAATACTGTAGAATGAATAGTAGCTTCAAATATAGAGGCTTAGATCTGATTTACTATTTATGCTGCAGTAACTTCGAGTGCCGAGGGCCACATCCGATTTACTGTTTTGTATAGCATTTTGTTGTAGTATGAACAACGACTCTTTGGATCCAACCCATTTCATAATACTCACACACACACTATATGGGTAATTGGATATTAGATCCTTGAAGTATCCTTTATTGCCAAATAGTTCTTAAAATCTCAGTATTTACTTATTAGTCCCACAAATTTTCATTTTTCTTATAAATTCACCCCTTTTGTTAGGTGATGTTATTCATGAGAATTAACTTCTGTTAACTTTAACGGATTTAGATGGTTGTCCCGCTATAGTGCTATACCCCCACTCATAATTAACTATCATGTAAATCCTTACCAACCCATTTCATAATAGATTTATACCCGCAACTTGCTCCAAGTAAAACAAAACTCATTAGCTATTTCTTCTCCAATGGTTAGAAGCTTCTCCAAACCCAATCTAGATCTTTTTCCAACAATTATTTTCCCATCTAGCCCATACGGAAAACTCATGGGCACTTTTGGTATTTTTAAATATTGGGTTAAGGCTTAACCAAACAAGAATTAGAGAAATTAACAGAATCCCTAATAGATGATTTGAGGGACTAATAAGTAAATACTAAGATTTGAGAGACAATTTGGCAATTAAGGATAATTTAAGTAACCAATATGCAATGAGCCCTTTATATGTAATCAGAAATTAATGGTTTCCCTAATAGCTGCGTGGGAAGTAGTGATTTTACCTAAAAAAATCACGTGTCAGTTAGTTGAGATCTAGGAATAAGTACTCTCTTTTTCAATTAGTTTGGAATTCTAATTGATTCTAAAAATATTTTAGGAAGGGCTAAGCCTTTTAAGAACACATATTCTTTTCCCATTTTTCTATAGACGTTCAATTATTATCAAATATCCTGTTTTAAATTTTATATTAAATTTCGTAATTTTATGATGACTAATATATCTTTTCTTGATTAACTAAAACTAATGACATTTCTAATACATAAAAAACCCAATTATCAAAAAACTTGAAATATTCCTTCTTAATATATATTATTTCGTCAACTAATGACATTTCTAATACATAAAAAAACCCAATTATCAAAAAACTTGAAATATTCCTCCTTAATATATATTATTTCGTCAGCCAACCAGTAAACTCAAAACTACTGTAAATTAATTTTCAAAATTTTATAATGAATCCAGTATGGCATTTCAAAAGAAATTATATAAATGCGGAAAAAGAGTCTCAACACACTATAAATCTTCAAAACAAATCATTTCCATCAAATATGATGACAGAACTATATAGTTGAAGTTTGACAGTATGAAGTTAAGCAGGCAAGTGCATACAAGAGGAAAATGTATTCTCGTAGTCATGTTTATGGAAGTAAATGAGAGGAGCAGCTTACATTAAGCAACATCAGTTCCCAGATTAGTTGAAGTTTCACTCAGATATGAGCCTCAGTTACTCTCATCTTTCAAGTCAGATGTTTTGCTTAAAGTTATAACTGGACTACTCATAACGCAAATGGGTACTTATAATTCAAAACAAGTAATGACTTCCTCAACGCCTCTATCTAAAATCAAAATCAACATTACATAAATAAATTTATAGTCACATTTTTAAGTAAATACCCTAAACATCACCTGTAACAACATCCTCACAGCCAGCACTTGTACCCCTGTTTCCCATAACAAATAGACATTTACAACCAGATGCTGCCTTCCAACTCTGAAGCCGTATCAACCGTCCTCATCTATTAGCGTATCGGATATGGTACCAAGCGAGCCTAATGTAATACATCACTTTACAAAACCAATAATATTTCATACATAAGGGGAAAAGGAATAAAACTCCTGGCCAACATGCTGATAATACCTTGAAATGCATTTATCTCGGTCAGCAACATCACCCAAATTTAGTGCTGAGTCCAAAACACTGAAAGTTTTATATGGCATCGAACAGTCTTAAAAAGCACTGCATCGGCACAGCACTGAGATAAATTATCTACAAGCTTTCTGTTTGTTCACTGCTGACAGACTCAGAATGATTGCTGCTAATTTCATTAGGAGCATCTGAAGAACCCAAAGATAGCTTGTGTGAACCTTCTTTACCATCACTGCCAATTTTTAATCAGTACTGCAGTCTAAGTGCTGGCCATTGCTTCTTTCCTCGTAGTCGTTTGGAGATGAAGGTACATGCTCGAGACCGAGTTGCACACTATCATCGCTTCCACTTTCAAGTGTTTCATCAGCCCCAGGATGGTGGAAACTAGAAATTTCCATGAATTCATCTCTTTCAATCTCAGAGTGTTGAGAATCTAAAGTCGCCCCACATTCATTCTTATCATGACTCGTTTCTTTGTCTGTGGAATGATAAGGACTAGAAGATGGCTCAATTTCATCTTTTTTAACTGCAGAATGTGTGGAATGCAAGGTTTCCTCAGGTTCAGCTTCATTAGAACCTGTCCTTTCTTTGTCTGTAAAATTATGGG